AGAAGCTGGCTTCAGTGCTTGGATGGACTGGCCTCTTTGGTTCAGTTTTCATGGAAAAAATACCCCAGCTGGAGACAGAACGTGGACCTATTTGTATCTGAACATGGTCAAGGTGCACATGGAGTTAAATGGCCCAATCTAATCTAACTTCAAGCGCAGGAAACCTTGCTGAGGAGCCGAGGACCAGGAAACCAGATGGCAAAAGAAGCAGTGCGTATGCAGCATCACTGTTACCCCTGCTTCTGCAATACCTTAGGCTGACCCTGTAGGTAGCTATAGCCCTGGCTTTTTTTTTTTTTGGAGGCAAATAAAAATATGTAAATACATATTTACAGCTTTTCAGAGTTTAAGTTTCACATTGTCAATTATTTTCATAAAAGCACAGAAAAATGCAGTGCTCGGACTTGCCTCAGTGACCAAGATATAGCAAAGAATGATTAAGAAAAGCCAGACACAGTTGCTCTAGCCTACCCATTTAGATGCTGCTCTTTGAGAAGGGACTAAAGATCTCTTGGGCTTCTCCGTTACAAGAAACAGCTGCCACTGGCTTGGGAGATCCCTCAGCTGGCACCTTTTGGTATTGCTGGCTATAGTAACTTCCATCTAGTGAACCTTGTATTTTATCTTCAGGGTAAATGCCTTCATCACACATGGTCCACCAATGCAGCCTTATCTGCATGAAAACTGTACCATCTAGCTCTATCCAGGCCCTGTAGGGCAGGACTGTATGTTTCACTAGAATATACACTGAGGTTATCCTGAAAATGTCTCCTGTTCAGACACTTGTGCGGCTATCTATGTTAACTCTGAGTATTCTCTTCACTACATGAAAGATCTAGCTCTTAAGTTACAGTTTCATTATGCAAATTTAAGCAGCACAGGGAAAACTCTATTAAGGCCCAGGACAAGCTGTGGTTTCCATGTAAGCTGGACAGACCAAAAGCAACCAGGAAAGACAGGTTAAGTTTCCTCTCACCAGTTAAGGGACCGGAATGTTGTAATGCTGAACTTGTACTGCATCTTGATTAATATACATTTATAATCAAGACTACTAACATGAGGGGACAGAAAAATAGCCTACTGAAATTAAGACTGTAATGTCTGGCTTAGAAAGAGACCAATATGAAGTCTCAAAAAAAAATCTATCTTGATCTTTTCAGGGAAAGATGAGGCAGACTTCAAATTTGAGTTATTTTTATGTTTTCTGGGAGCTAAAAATACATCTTAACACATCTGCTTTTAAGTTTTCCCTTATTTATCCACAGATGTGGTTCACAAATACAGGACTCTTAGCATCCTTTATTTTTAAGCTAACAAAAGCAAAACAAAATGTCTCTCTTCCCCAGCAAGCCTTACCTTCTTCTGTTTGGATGCAGTACACCTGCTTGAACTGCTACTTTCAGTATTACTGCCTGGAATATTACTGTTTGCTTGGCCAGACAATGGCATGTGCTTTAAAGCTATAGGGGTTTGGCCTTGTTATAACCTTGTGCTTCAGCAGCCTTTAAGCGTCTTAACAGATTCTTTTCATGCTGCCTACAGTTTAACAATAGGTTATTATTTCTGGAAATGTAGGGGACTATGGCTCAGTTTTAACAGATCAGGATTCAAGAATTTACTGAACACTTTCCCAGGGCCCTCCCTTATTCTTACAAAGAATTTTAATGTTAACATTAGTCCATTGTCCAAAACATCACAATACCTCCTTGCTGTTATTCCCATTCCAAATACACTTGTAGAAAAGCAGCTTTTTAAGAATAGTATGTTTTTACTCTCTGCATATTTGCTACTACAGGTTGCTTATCAAGGAAAAGAGCACCAGCATACCACTCAGGCTTTTTGGTGCCATAGTCATGCTTTATTTAAAAAAAACCAAACCAACACTACATAATGCTAAGAAAAAAAAAAAATAAATCCAAGTTTACTTTACAAAAAACCTGCAGCCATTTTCAAGAGATCTGATCTCACTTATAAATGAAAGTCAGCAGGTAAGAAAGTGAATGTTAATTTAACATTTCAGTTGCAGTACATCATCTGGACTTAATCATCCAAAACAGTCAGTCATTCTTAAACTGACTGTTGATTGTATCTACACAAACCATCATCTGTATCACTTGATTAAAAAAAAAATCCCTGGGAAAATTTAGAGATAAATGGAAAAATGTCAGAATAATGTTATTTAGCCCACCTATCAACTCTTGCAGAAACTGAAAGATCTTTCTGGCTTTGCTCTCCTTTGTAAGTTAATTGCAATTCCTCTGTGTATTTAAGAGAACTCCTGGTGTAAAGCTGCTAAATTCTGTTCTGTAAGGGGATTAAACTGGTATAACATGAATCTATGTAGTTATCATCAAGTTACACTAGTGCTATGTCTTACTATCTCCATGGAAGTGTATTGTGCAAGTCTCAAGTAACTTCAAAACACTCCTGAAACAGCCCTTGTGTCACTCCTATGAGGTAGGTACTGTCCTTCCTTTGGAGCAGAAAAGAGAACTGATTCTCAGCTGCTGCTCAGTACATCAGGCACACTGAAAAACAGGACAAGCAGCCTACATTAGTATTTGACTTTCCTGCTGCTTCCCTGAATTCAGAGCTTTCAGCTACAACATGCTGTCACAAAGCAGACAGCATAGAGGGCTACAAGTATCAAATGCAGTTCAAGTGTAGCTAAATCAATGCTTTGCTACCACTGTAGACTTGAACTCTAAAGCAGTTTTTCTTACCCTAAGTATAGACTCATTAAGTCTTCACAATTTTTTTGCATTAGTTAAGGAGCTGTGAGAAAGGAACTAATAGTGGTCCTTCACACTAAGGCCTTAGTTTATTTGCAGTCTAAAACCATTTAGCATCTTTTATTAGTAAGGAAGAAACCCTAGTCCACATCTTCTTTCACAGTCCTTGTTCCTCTTCTCGTAACCTCACATGAGCAGTTGTGTGGTAGTGTAGCAAGCTTGCAGAAAATTAGGCTGGTAAGAATACTAGATTATACAAATGCTTGTGCTACCACATGGAAAGGGTGGTATATATATGGTGTGTGTGTATATGTATATATACACACACACACCACATGGTATAGGCAGAATTGCTGCTTGTTCCATCTTAAAGTCAATGCAACTATACCCTACTCAGGTAATGGTAATAATGATATCCAGTAACATACCTGTAACACTAAGCTATCTGGATGTGTTTAAAAATTGAGTAGAAGATTCAGGTACCAAAATAAAAGTTGTTAACCAACAGGATAAAGCAACAACTATGTTCTCCCATTTGAAGAAATCTGAGTGTAGTGGACTGGCTTATTCAGCAGAAATAATTTAAGGGATGCCAAAGTTCAATTCCCACTACACACTGGAATGTTACTGCTGAATTTCAACTACAGCAAACTAACAAGAAATTCAAAACTGTTACTTCATTTATCATGAGAAATAAGTAGTGGACTGCTGGCCACTGTGCTTATGAACTGCTGCTGGCTGAGAAAGTTACTATGAACCATCCACAGTGAATGCCAAGCTGTGAATCAGACAGACAGTCTTGGTACAACTGGACTTTCCCATTGCTAGTTCCTATGCAAGCTGCTAAACTGTTTCATCTCCTCTCTTTTTTCATGCTTAGAATTTAAGCATTTGGATGTTAACCAATGAATGCAGAGAAGAAAGCTGAAACCTTCAAATACTTTTTTCTCATTTGTATGTGCTTCAGTCCTTTAGCTTCTATTAAGTCCTGGTCAGTGTAAGATTTCTAAAGGCCTAACTTGCTCCAAAACTCAATCAATAAGGGCTAAACTATTTAACAGAACAAATAAAACTAGGATATTACAAGTTAGTAACCTCTGTTCTGATCCTTTGTCTTTTTTCCCCCCGGAGTACCACTGTATCTAGAGCAGCTCTCATCATCACCCACTCAAAATAGTACCTTTCTATCTTGGGAAGAATTAGAGTATACAGTTTAAGATTACCTATTACCAGAAGGCTTAAAAAAAAAAAGTAATCTCTTGGTGTCAGGTTAGAGGCAATCCAAGAGAAGGAACTTAGAAGTTCACTACATCAGGTGCTGCAATAGCTATAGGGCTTTAGTATACAAAGCTTTTGATACATAAACACTTTGTTGAATCAATGCAAGCTTGAATATAAGCCCATAAACCTACCACAGAACCCCTCATCACTAAAGGCAAAGTTGCTCCACACAATTTGAGTGGAGATACCTCTTTGAAGGTAGCATTCAACTGTTTGCTACGTGATCTGTATGACAATTCAGCAATCTTAACTATTAAAAATATTCTGCCTGGGCTAGCTATATTAGCAGGAAGTTAAACAAAGCATCTTTGGGGTTGCTTTTCCTATTCTTATCTTTTCCATATCAAGATGAGTCAAGAACATCTTCACAGTTCATTCTGGCAAAGTGTATAGTAAAATAGTGCCAGTACAGGTAGCTGCAGAGCTTAGATGCTTCAAACGTGCTATGACATCATTTGCAAGTATTGCTCAGTGTTCATTGGCTCAGAAGCTCAGTCCCTGCAGAGCAAGTGTAGATCTAGAAGAGCACTTTCACATGTGGGGATCAGGAAGGGGAGGAAAAGAAGAAAACAGAGGTCTCAGATCAGTGACTCTTCCTGAGCTCAACAAGCTTCCAGATAACCTTCAGACACAGGAAGAGATGCAGTTGAGATGCAAACAATTCAAGCCTTGTCCAACATGCCTGAACAGCAGCAAACTGACACTTTTTACTGCTCTTTTTACTGTCAGTTGAATTCCTGAATGCAATGAATGTGGATCAATACCTCAGTACCTGGTAATCATGTAAGCTGTGCCTGCCACAAAAGAAAAGCCCATTTTGATTGCATATAGCTTTTCTGCTTTAGTACTGAACTAACATGTAGTTAATAATGGATGTGCATCTGTGTTACTAGTAGGGAAGACAAGGTGATTCAAAACAAACTCAGACCAACGTACTGACCAGTGGAAAGAAGTCTGACATTTAAAAACTGCAAAGGGTGAATTAAGTAGTTTGCCATTTAAAAAGATTATTTGAAGCCAACAGTTTTTTAAATTCAGTTTCAAGTGTGTACAGTAAATGCAAAGTCCTTGCCCCATGTAAAGCTTTAAGAAAAGTCCACATTTTGATACATATGACATTCTAGTTTTTGTGGGAGAACCATGAACTTACTGAAAAGTTGTTCTGGCTTATTCAAAGATTTCTTCAGTAAACATTGCAGAGCTACCACTATAATCAGAATACCTAAGCTGCTGGCACGACTCAATAACTAACCATTTAACAAGTTGGGTATAAAAAAAATTTATGTAGTAATACCAATTCAGCACACAAATTCCATGCTTCACGAGTTCTGCTGCTGTGTAAGAGTCTTCCTAACACCTATGCAGATAAGTTCAGATTTTTAGGTCACTGCATGCCCAGATCAAAACAGCAGCAAAGTATCTACCACTATGAGCAGCTATACCAAATTGTGCCTTTAGAATGCAAACTATGCAGAAATCCAGATGATCAGTGCCTTGGCACTGAAATAGGACCACACACAGGAACTTCAGTGTGTGCACACTGTAGAGGATAAAGTTACTGACTGAAAAAGAAAAATGCATACAGATTCTGATACAGACATGATACAATCAAGACAGATTGTCACTAGACATTCAGATTTGCGGGAGGAGAAAAATCTTTCAAAAAAGACAGTGTACAGATGACAAGCCAGCATTACAAAGAACTCTAAAGGCACATTTCAGGTAACATGGTTCTGTTAAGACCAACTGCTTACACACGCAGGCACAAATCTTAATGGCTACCTCCCTCCCACCCCCCCCAACAATCAACAAAAAAAAAAAGAGAAGTGCATTTTCAGTAATATTAACACCATTCAGTTAATCTGTTCAGTCCAAATGTTTAGCAGTATTTTCCTTATGGTGACATGGATTCTCTGCACTACTCCAATCAAAAAAAAACCAAACAGGCAAGATTAGTAAAGGTTCAACCGTTATACTAGTTAACATTTACTCATCAGAGCCCACTGATCTCTTCTGTGCCCTCTTGTAGGGCAACCTCCTTGGTGAAGCTTTATCTAGATTTAAAAAAAAAGAAAAAAAGATAGTTACATCAATTGCTACAGCTACTTCAGATTAGATGTTATATGACCATGTATTTTTCTCCTTCCCAAACACAAGCCAAACTGCCCTTCTAGTGCAATGCAACACCACAGAGAAGCCAGATCAAAAAACTTGTTAAGGTTTTTTAACTATTAGCATCCTAAATAGACGGTAACAAAAAGAAAAATATTCCTATTCCGTAACATGCAACTCCAGGGTGAGGGTTGTTCAATTTGCCAGTTACTAAAATGTACCCCCCCCCAAAAGCAACCCCAAAAACCAGACCCCACACCATGTCCTGATGAAACTCCATGCTCTCCTGTTTCAGAAAGTTTCATGTTCAGTAATTACTCTTTTAGAAAGTTAATTATTTTGATCATTACTGGTTTGATTTTACCTGCCTGAAGAATATGCGATTGACCCTCCTTGCATGAAATAGTTCCACATTCATACAGATTAATAGCAGAAGATAAGTGTTTTGGTTGTGAAAAATCACACTTTTCCAGGAAGCATCCACACTTGACTATGAAGATGTCACTTTGTAATCAGATATACCATATGGGGAAGCTACACATCTTTAGCTGTATGATCAGCAGATGCCAGAAGCATCATCCTACAATTAAGACTTTATGACAGGCCTATAGTTGTCCTTTACAATGATGGTCCTTACATAGATAGAATTTCAATCCTTGTAATATAGTAGAGAAGCTACAGTACTTTGTACAAAGTGCTAAAGTAACCGCTAAGTCTATCTGTTGACTTAAAAATGCACTTTTTTTTTTTAAACAGAACCATCTCCAACAATTTCACTGTTTAGAGCATGGCAAACAAAAGCAGCAGCCACCATGCCATTACAGGCCAATCAGTAGAGTATGAAGTTCCTTTCAACAATAGTCAAGAACCTCTGAGGATCTTGAAGGCCATGTATTTCAAAGGGTTCTAGTGTAGGGTTCTAATTAAAACTAACCTGGACCTGAAGAAAACAACAATTAAGGACAACTGAAACATCACTTTTTCCTAGACTTCAGGTATTAAGTTATGAATACTTATTTAGCTTAAGAAAGGGATGGGGGACAGGACCCAAACATTGCCAGGATTTGAACCCATTTAAAGACAGCTTGCTCCTTGGAAAAAATTACCATTTAGAGCTTCAGCCTTTCTTGCTAGACTGAGGCTTTTCAAATTCCTGTGTCTAGATTTTGTACTATCATTCTTGTGTCTCACAGAAGACAGTGTGCAAGAAAGTTTACATTTTCAGAAGTAAAACACCAGTCCTTATACCTATGTAATGTAAGTACAGTTAAAAAGGGCGAAGGAATCAAAAAAAGTAAAGTCATTAACTCCTGACACAACTTCGTATCAGAGCTAAGGCCTCTAGCCCTTATACACTGAACAAAGCTCAGAATACGCCGATTTCATCAAAACAGGAGTATTTTTCAAGTAAAGGTAGTTCCTGCAAAGGGTTTCCAAAGCACTTCTCTTGTCTAGGATGCACTTTGTTTTAAGTGAGGCTACCTCACCTCACACCAGCCAATGCTACTGGTGATAGGAGTTCACATGGGATAAGGAAGACCCTGGAAGATAAACCTGACTTAAACTATTATACTCAAGGCTGAGGTTTGTTTCCCACTGAAACAAGATGCACTCAGCCATTGGTCATGATCAGTCCTCCACCTCCCTCATGTAACATCAGCTTGACACTACACCAAGGTAGCAGGGAAGGCAAAATGCACATCTGCATTTTAAACAAAGGGTTCTGGGAACTGTTAGAGGAGACAACAGTACTTCAGCAATATTCTACTGAAACTACATTACTACAATATAACCAGAAGTAATATATACACACATATTTAGAATATACAAAAACATAAATTTATATATAAAAAATGTCTTTGTGTAGTTGCGTGCATCTGTTCTGTAATCTTTTACCGCTCATGCTACATCATCAATCACTGCATGCAGGAAGCTGTACTTCTATCCATGCCTAATTATCAAATGGACAACACATTAAACACTTCCACTCTTTGGATCACCAGAGTTTGCCTCACCTCTTCTACTCTGCACTGAAGCCATGGGAAAGCAAAACAGAAGAAACAGCAAGAGAAGTTAGAAATATCCACAAACATGCAAATGGTCTAAAGAAATCAGATATTGGGCTTATTGTTGGCATTTCAGATATCAAGTAGAACTTAGTCATTCTGGACTTGTGAAGGACATTAATACCAAGTCTTAATGTGGCTTTAGTTAATACACACTTCTAATGCTTATTTAAAACTTTGGTCTATAGGCAAACTTCCAAACAACTTACAGAAACTTTGAGGTGACAGATATTTTCTCCTATTTAAACCTCCTTTGTGATCCAGCTTTTGGGTAGAGATTTTATACTGTTGAAAAAGAGTCTACAGAACAAATTGTAAAAATCGCCGACAGTCATTATTGCGTCAACCAGTGAAGTTTGTTCTATACAAGAATAGGCTACTAATGTAATAGTCTAATAATTAATCATGGTGCTTTAGACAATTTTTTATTCCCTAGAAGAGATGTATGCTGTTCTGAGAAATCGTTATCAGCTACTTATTCAGTTACAACTAATTGATTAACTAAGTTTGTTACGCTCTAGTTTGTGGAAGGCAGACTACTTACTTATTTGATTTAAAGTTTCTTGGGGAATCCAGCTCATATCAACATCATTCTGATTTGATGTTCCCATCTCTACTTTCTGTACTGGTCTTTTCCTCTGAAAATTCAAGAAAGCAAGATTTTTCTTTCCACAAAGCTTCGACAGCACAAGTATTAGAAATAACTAGTAATGCTATATTTAATGAATTGCAATGATTTCACTAAGACATGAACTTAAGGCTAGTCAATGAATGAAGCTGTCTTTGTAGCTTAGCTTTAACTATCTTTACCATTAGCAATTTATTCACCCAAGCTTGGCATTACCACTTCTCATGCCTCACCATACTTATTCCACACAAAGATACCAAGATTTCATGCATGCCTGGGCAAGTTCATTATACCTGTTACGAAAAATGGCTGATGATTAATCAAACTTTGATGACCGGTTTTGTTATACTTTCTCAGATTAGCACAATATTCTCATATGTCACCTTGCAAAATAGATTTCAAAGCACAATAATCATTCCATACTTCTTCCCAAGGGAAGCTACTTCAAAAGTATCATAAGCCACACTGCTCAAAGACGTAACCTATGCATTGCATGCAGACGAAACTTGTGAACTTTCAATGGCTTTTACTTGCCAGACCATTTACACAGACAAACCGTTAGCTGTTATAGCATTATAAACAGAATCCAGAAGGCCCTGATCAACATCACGGCAAAGCATTGATAAGAACTAAATAAAGGACTAGACAGCCCCAAAGTTTGACCTAGATTAAACTAATAGATAGAAAGAGAGAGCATGGGAAAGTCTGCCCAGTATGTATTTATCAGTAGCTGCACGCATCCAGTGACTGGAAGATATCAAAGCTTCCAATTCAACCACTTCAGTCCAGTGCCAAAGAGCAGACCCAAAGAGCATTAGGTAAGCAATCTAAATGTCTCCAATTATGAACATTTTTTAAAAACTCTCTGGTTTTCCCAGTAATCTCTAAGGTCTTAGTTCTACAAGTAAATCTTCTAAAGTTCTACCTGTACCATCGTGTGCCAGAAGCAATTACTGAATTGCTTTCTTTTCACATCAGTAAGGTCTTGTATTAACAAATACATAGGCAAAAATACACTACCCACCTTCCTAGATTCTAGTAACTGATGTAGGCCAACAATGACAAGCAGACCAAGTCCAGCGAGGAACATGTACATGAAGATCCTTTAAAAAACAGTTTAAGAAACCATTAACTAAAAATCTTAAGTGTTTAAGAGAGTTTACAAAGAGGCATAGAAACTAAGCCTAGCTTTGGCCACATGTCCACTTGATCTTTCCCAACAACTTTTGTAGGGGGTGGGTGGGAAAAAAACCCAATGCATCTGAAACTGAAGTGCTAACAAATATTAAGTAATTATTCTGACTTCAATTTCAGAAACTGTAATCCTAAATTTAATTCTGAACAACAGAACATTTGAAAAATGCTGTATAAACTGGGAAACTGTTATAAATAATTACTGACATTTAGCAACCACAAGAACTCTTTTGCAGTATCATGTTTCAAGACGTTGGGTCACAGGTAGTATTTATGTTTGTGACAGCATCAACCACTTACAAAACCCTTAAAAATCTCTTATATGCTCTTAGCACACTACTGCAAAGCAAGTACTGCTAGAATACTAATTTACTGGCAACAGAGCTTTGAAAGGCTTTGCTTATCTTGCTCTGTGTTCCACAGTCAGAATTCTACCTATGCAAACAACCATTTTTTAAACCTGTGCATTTTGGTTTGTTTTGAAGAATTCTATCCGAAATACCTATCGATACTTAGCAAGATGTGAACACAAATCATATCTAAAATTAATCTGGGGATAAGGCAGGAGTTTACAGGTAAAGAGTCTATTCCAAGTTGAACATCTTAACTCAAATTTTTGACAAAGGAAATTATGGAGTTAAACTACAGAAGAGACTTAATGGAACATCCCTGGTTTAGGATAATTATTTATTCACAGGACATTAACCCAAACTGGTTCTAATAATCTGAATTCTTTTTAGAGCTCCTTTATCAGAGTATCACACCTTTTCACATGACCAATTGTTCTTTCATTGATACTATTCTATTTCAGAAGTATGAGTTAATGCAACAGCTATTTCTTTTGGTTGACCTTTTTTAAAAGGAAGCTTGCTCAGCAGGCAATTTCTGCCTGCAGCAGGAGAACTCAAATATTCAGCATCGTCTACAAGTATTTCTGAATTTTTTTTAACTCACAGGTTCTCTTAAAATTCCACTCCAGTGTTAAGAGTATTCTTCACAGTAGGACCACAGACCAATACTATGGACCTTCGACATCTTTAACTCTTAGGAAAAAGCATAGTAGCGTAACAAAATCTTAACAGCTTTGAATTGCTATGTAGCTGTATAACATCAGATCCTATTCCAGGCTTAAGCCCTCTGAGCCAGAGCAGATTTTTCAACTACTCATTGACATAGTACCAATCCCAAAGATCCCTAGTATTAATACAGATCTTAATTTGGGGAAAAAGTTTGTATTTTCAGTCTATCAACGTTGTACAAGTCAAATGCCTGCTACCCCATCGGCAAAACACAGCAGACCTAACATTCAATAAAATGAGGATGAGAACTATTCTCATTGGCACCATCAATAACCTGTTCTACCAGTATACCAACTAGATGTTAATCTCCAGCCTCCTTACGTTTCTCCATCCAGCCCGTCTTCTTTTTCAATAATTGTAACAGTTTGATTGAAGACAGCATCTTGAAACACATTGCCCTGTAACAAAGTTTCCACATAACATTTTAAATTAATTTCTTGAACACATACACAAATGTTTATCTTTTCCCATGTTCCTGGAAAAGCTCTAGAAAGTAGTAACTCCTGTACAAGACTTAAGACTTGATTAAGTTTGTAAGCAGTGCAAGTTTGACTCAACACATAAACACACAAACTTTTTGGTGCAAGTACAAAGAAGTGTCTTGATATTAGCAAGAAAGTCACATCTAGCCTTCACTATGTTATCTCCTATAACATATTACATATGAAGGGTTCTTATTAGAACAGTCAAAACACAAAGGTACAGAAGCCTGTTAAACTTTGACCTGCACTAAGAGAGAAAAGAATCCCCTATTTTAATCCCCATTTATGCTTTTGAACAGTCTTCCCCCAGATTGCAACTACTGGCCATTTATTTGCTCAAAGTCAAGTTTGCAGATGGGATTCAGGTTGATAGTTAAGTTCACTAGCAAAAACCAATCTGAAAAGCACAGCGAAATGTAAGTTATCCTAAAGAAAGCTTTAGGGTTTTTTTGGGGTTTGTTTTTTTTTTTTCTTTTTTTAAATGAGTACAGCCCACTACCTAGCTTCCACTGCTGACGTAACTTTTAAGTCTAACATATACAGAACTAAGTGTACATGGGGGGCTATTGTGAAACATGTAGACAGTTGCTTACTGTGCTTATGCATCTACTGATTTGCTGAAAAACCACAAAGGCATTTGCTTTCTGAAGAGGTAGTACCTTGACTAAGCAGTTCCTTCCTGACATTTCCACATCAACTAGAAAGATTAAAATGAATTACAACATCAGGCTTACATTTATGTCTCTGTAGTTGAGATTGATAACTAGTCCGAAAGGACGACCACCCATAGGCTCAGCAGGGATGAAAGAGTACTCAAACGTGGCTTGTCTCTGTGGTGGAACTACCGTATTCAGAGGGAGAGCTGTGAAGTTCTGAATATAAAACTGGTAGTCTTGAGGATACCGGAAAGAAGCATCAAGAGACTCGACAATGAAATCCTCTGTACCCTTATTGGTGAAGCCCACCAGAAATTTTACAATGTTGTTTGCTGGAAAGTCTAAAACACAAAATATTCAACCATTAGAAGCTTCATACACAACACCTAGCCCATTTCTAAATGGAGAGTGTCTAGAACAGATTCTGTTTTTTTAGAGCTTCACTGTTTTATGCATACATTGATAAAGTCTAAGCAACAGCAAAGAAGATAGTAGATTAGCACAGGACTCTTACCTTCACCTTTCACAAATAAGATGGTTGTATCAGCACTAGGTGAGGCTTTAGGTTCTCCTGACAAGTCGTCATCTTCTTTTTCTTCTGTCTAAGACAAGAGACTTTTTTGAAAAATCCTATAATGAACAGTGAAGCAAAGACCATGCTTGTTTCATGAGAATCCCATGTCTCAAAGTATGCAACAATGGCAAGCGTTAGTGTCAATTCCTGCTGTTGCAGGATTAGCATATAGTCTGTTCTCCCTCTAGATTTGATTAGCATCATTTTCAGCATTTATCCGTCTACTTGTTATATCTGACACAGTGGTTAATCTGAACTGCATTTAGCTATATTGAAAGGTTTATAGCCAGAAAACAACAGGAAGGTCTCTGTTTGGGGGTGGAAGGAAAAGAATAGAATCTAAATCTTAAGTGTTCACATCTAAGCTATTTCTATTCAGAAAACAAGCCTTTCCAGAGTGATGGGCAGCCGTAAGGCAAACAGAGTTACTTTCACTACAGAGGGAGGATTTACAGAAGCTTTCTATTCAGTTTTAATTAGTTAAGTGTTATGTATGCCTGGAAAGGGATGGACTGTTGGAGCTAAGTAAGTTTGTGGATTCACTTGTTCAAGCTCACCTTTGGGATGATTCACTTTTTAATTTGGCAAATGCAAGCACTAAGGGCTTATTTTCCACATGGGGATCATGGGATCACCACCTCCCCCACCCAACAAAAACAAGGCCAACCCCATTTTGAACTGTCTGAACTAATTGCTTGCGAGTTAGTTAGATCATTTGATTTCACTGCTTAAACAACCACTTGAAGCAGTGGATAGCCTACAATCAGTCATACATGTACCATGATCTGGGGCAGCCATGAGCCAGAGCTGAGCACTTAGCATCTTGACTTCAGGATGCTATGCAAAACTGTATCTTTTATTTCAGTGACACATAAAAGAAACTGCCTAAAAAGTGTAATGTTTTGTACCCAAGTCATAGACTATTAAAAGCAAACTAGATCCAAAAGGTTACTTAGTAATATTCTGTCAGTTCCGAATACCTAGCATACCTCCTACCACTTAGCAAAGCTGGTCAACCATAAGCTCATCAACTTACTAACATCAATAAAAATCTAACAGAATCAAAGAACAGCTTACCAGGTCGCCATTTTTGAATGATTATGCATGTCTTCTCCTCCTAATAATGTCCTAAACTTTCTTATTTTACACCACAAATTTGAGAAATTTTTGTACCAATTTAAGTACACTAAGTGTCTAGCAAGCCTAATACTCTACTGCTATAAGTAGATCACGTAACTACATAAAATATTTCACTTTGTCAAGCTGAAGCAAGCGACCCTGAACAGCAATATGGCCACTGGTATAACAGGCATACCCTGCAACAAGTGTCAGAGACTAGGAATGCAGTAAGTGAAAACAGGCTGCAAAACAAGGTTTTCACAATTAATACAGAGCTTAGCTAAGATTCTGTTGCCCCTTGAAAATCAATACCAAAGAAGCCAGAATGAAGTGGTCCTATACCCAAATGTCCTTCTCGGTTTACTGAGATGCAGCAGAAGATGCAGAAAAGAACTACAAGGGGCTCCTATGAGAATCTGGTTCTCTCACTTGGTGTTCTTTTTTGTGAGCTGTAGTTTTGGCAGTCAGAAATCAGGCCGTCCCCATGTGGCTTTTCAACTGGTAATTCAGAAAGAAAAGATAAATCCTTCTGAAACTTCAAACTGAACGCGACTTCAATTGGAGACTTGGAAACAGCTATTTGGAAATAGCAATGTTATTAAACTCCTATTTAAATATATCTAAACTATGTAGCTTCAAGCACTTTTGGTCTAATTCATACTTATGAAGTTACATTCATGTACAATTACCAAGTCTGTTGGCTCATCTTCTTCAACTTCAGCTTCATCATCTTCATCTTCAACTACGGTATCTTCCACAGCTTCCTCATCTTCCGTAGCATCTTGAGCTGCAACTAATAAACCTGAACCTACCAAAATAAAATGCAAATGCAAGAAAGCTTTTTTAATGTCTAGTTAATCAACAGAAATCTGACATTGTAGTACAATTTTCAAACTAATGTTTGAAGAATTTCTTAAAAATCTGTCAAATTCAGCATTTTGAAGCATCAGTTGCAGAAACCTCACATTCAAATGATTGTCTGTGTTGAGCTTTCAGCCTTTTTCCTTCTCTAATAATTCTCTGAATTACTCATTTATGTGCCAATAAGCTCAAAACCAAGATGTTTACAGCTGGATGACAAAAAGTTCAGCATTCACACAGCAATGCTTAAATTCACAGAAGGCAGCCAACTTGCCTTAAAAGCTATTGTTTAATTTTTGAACATGTCAACGTAAGAAAATGTTTTAATTTTGTTTTTTCATTACAAATGTGAAAATCGAAAGACATTGCTACTACCAGGAAATTAATTCAGTAAGTACTGTTTCTTCCAAGACTAGTAAGTTAATAAATAATTAGCATATGCTTTTCATCTGCTGGTACCAGAACACTACACTTTCACAGACAGTTAAAAAGTTATTATTTTTGCACTTATTTTCATTCAAGTTCTAAAACATAAAAGTCTTTTTTAATATGACCTCCTCGATATCATATACTACCATATCCGTATATTCAACAGAACCACAACGCTAGTCAGAAAAGAAACCTGACCTAGAGCATGGCTCCAGAGCAAGCCTCCAAGACAAGCACAATCTGATAGTTCATCGCCTCTGCTTTCATGGAGCCGAGCCTCATACACTCAAACACTGGGCAGATATGATTAATACAAATATTGGCCACAGGACCAAGCTCTGCCTGTTTGCAGTTTAGAGCACGTGCGGGCTACACTGAGAACTTTTAAAACATATACACAAAACCACACATTCTTCTTTTAATAAACCTAACGTTTTCCAAAACTGAAGGAGTAGAAATGAATGGATGATTGATTTACACAAGCCTGGAAAAAGACCTAATTGCTATGAGTACACACTTAAATATTTAAAAGCTTTCATGGGGAATAAGAACCCTTGAGCAGGGCAAGTATATCCAAGGACTTCAGGATTGTCAGTCAGAGCTAGAAAAAGCAAATACAACCCTTCCTCTCCAGTGTCTTTAGAAGGTACACTCGAAGACTTTTGCTCAACCACGTGCAATACTTAACCTAAGACTAACCGCAGTGATTTTATCTGCCGAAGATGTGCACTTGTAAGTCTACAAATAAAGATTTAAAAAAAAAAAAAAAAAATTAAAACCTTTGTATCTGAACAGGGTAACAGATAGGTATAGGCACTCTTCACAAGCAACTGCGCTAGCACGTTCTCTTAGAGCTCTAATTTACGGTCGTTTTCATGGATGTCAGAAGGGCTGATGATGTGGCAGTAGCGGGAAAGCAGAGCTGCCCGCTGCGGGAAGG